TAACTATATATATATATATAATAAAATGTTAATATTTTAATTATATATATATATTCATTTAAAATTCACAAATTTATTTTTCTTTAATCTAACAAACGTAAAGAGTGACTTGGGTAGAATTTGTTTAAAATACTAAATAGTACGTAGTAAAATAATACTTACCTAGGCTATACATTCATTTTAAAATGCAATGAATAATTATTGTGAAAACTATAAAAGTGTTTTCAAAAATGTAATGTATAGTTGCTACAATCCTAATAAATATCATGTTTAGTTCACGAACATCTACAAATACTAAACGTTTCCTAAGTTATAGCAGTGTTTTCGGAATGTTTTTGTCCCAAATCTTGGAGCACACGTTCATCTGCATTACACAACTGCTCTTATCTTCCTCCGCCTATTTGTTTTCTTTCTGCGATTGCCTTTGAACCGTGTGCCAAGCCGTTTCTGGGTAATATCCCACATGTTCTGACAGTGGGTTGATTCAGATGTTTCTTGTATACAAGCGTTTGGGCGGGACGTTTAAAAGGAATGGCAGGGGTGGTCATGGGATCACGGAGGGTGACGGAGGGGTCGAGTCTTGTTGGCCCTGACATCACAATAAGATAAGCGATGGCCAATCGAGGGTCGCGTCTGTTGGAGGGTCAAGGTCTGTGTGTTTCGCCACTCTATCTCACATCTCATTTTTCTTTCCGCCATCATCTACTGTTTGTCTCTGTGTCAACGGAGCGTTTACGTGCAGACAGGATGAGATTTGCCAGACCAGAACGAAAGCGCCAGCCTGGAAAGGATGCAAATAGACCTGGAATACCTATGAGAAAGCAAAAACGGACTGTTGCGGGTGGAAGGAAGGTTTCCCAAACAAGTCTTTAGCGGTACATGCTGTTTAGCGAAGCCAGCGGTGTCCGTGATGTCGATGCACGCGAGGAGACGGGTCAAAGGGCAAGCGGGTCTGAGTGAAAAGGGATGTGCGCTAGACGGCTGTGCTAAATGCACCGTGAATGGCACCCGGTTCCGGGCGGTCAAATAAAAAAAACGAGATGTGCCGTTTCCAGGTAACTGAGGCGTAAAGTGTGTGTGACAGGTCAAGCTAATGGGCCGCGGCTCCTCTGAGGAAACACACACACATCTAAATGCACAAGACGGATGCAGCCGCCAGCTGTCGATGAGAAAGCAGGATGTGGAGCTTATCGGAAGAGAGTTTCCAATGAGAGTCAGCAGATTTTGGGTTACTAGGGAGCTAAGATAAATGAAACCCTGGAAAATGGTCATTAAAAAAATCCCTATATGAACTAATGAAAAAAATAATAATAATAGAAAAACATAGTGGTCAATATGGCAACTGTATGAAAGTCCCACTTTTTATTTAAAAGAGCTGAGTGATGTATTAGCTTTCAGTGTGATTTAAGCTAATAAACTACTAATAAACAAATTTATTTTAGCATTTTGTAATTTAAAATATGTTTTCCATTAACATTTTTTGGTCTTGTCCCCCATTCCAATATGGCTGCCTGACTGAACTTACTGTATGTGCATTGAAGTCGCGATGAAATATAGCAGTAGTAACTATCATATGTTACTTCTCAACTGTTCATGTATATTCAAGCAAGTTTAACAATCAAAGACAGGAGTTTACACACTGTAATGCCTCCAAGCTGACATATTAAACATGCTAAACATGCGCTAACAGGTTTTCTCCCTCTTTCTTCCTCTCTTTCCTGTTCAGAACCGCTGCTTCGCAAGTGCTCAGACGGACAGCCGTGCACCCCGTCCGTGTGCAGGCAATTTTTTGAGACCGCGCGGACGGTCCGCGTACAACAGCACATGCGCGAGGTGAAAGTTGAGACAGAGCGCAAGTCAAACTGCGCCTGTGTTGAGCTCGTCCGTCTGCACTCATCCGTGGTTGAGTATACTTTGAAAGTTGTGCGGACACGGCTGAGCGCGAGTCGGAATGGAACGCGGAAAGTGAAGTATACCCGGGCTTTTATTGGCTCACTGACGCTGATGAGATTAACCCCTTAGGTATCGAAATTTGGTACCGAACGACGAGACGTTTTTCGATACTCGATGGTATCGAGGCAATTCAGTCGGTGCCTAAAAAGTATCGAACTCGATACCCAGCCCTAGATATCAGTCAGGTCCAATCCACTGAGGTGGACACAAATTTACACGCCACTTATAAGCCTTGGGGGGTTGTCTGATTGAATTCTCTTCACCCGCATCCAACTGCGATTAACTTATCCCCTCCTCCTCCTCCTCCGCCGGACGTCCTTCAACCCTGCCCCAGTGCATCTCTGTCAGCCAATCAATAAGCTATTATGGCTCCCAAACAGCAGGTGAAATGAACTTATAAGAGTACCTGCAGACTCGGCACTCTGGTAATCCTGTTGGAAAGGGTCTAATGAGGGAGAGCAGGCCACGGCAGAGGCGCGTTTCAATGACACGCACGCACACACCTGCAACAAAACCCGCAGCTGTGCTGGGAAAGTGAGGAGCGTCCTTGAGGACACCTGCACTGCGGTGCACAGAACAGCGGAGGAGCTCCAAATATTATTACAGTTCCCACCGGTGTTTGCACATATTTCTGCCATTCAATTTGCATAAGTTCACTGCACTCGGTGGCCCTGAAAACCACAGTTCGCCAGGCACTACACTTATTGTTTGTGCTTTAAAACTGTGGTAAGGTTGCCCATGTTAATTTATGATTTTACAGTGGTAACAATAACTTTAAATGGTATTCTAGCAGAAACTGTGGTTCCATGACATTTTTTTAAAGACAAATAAATGTATATGCTCCAAAATGTGGTTGCAACTTTAAAAGACTGTGGAAATAATGAGGCTGGCTCTACCATTTGGGTCATACCAGTTATTATTTATGCACTTTGAATTTTTATGCTCTCTATATATCTCTATATGCTTTTATATATATATCTCTATATGCTTTTATATATTTTCAAAACATACTGTATGTGTGTGTCTTTATATATACATAATAAATATACACAGTACACACACATGTATAATGTAAACAAAAACGTTTATTTAGGATGCGATTAATCACAATTAATCGTTTGACAGCACTAATATATATATATATATATATATATATATATATAAACACACAGAGAGCTGCTTAAATTACTTACAATTTGTAGTCCATTACTAATTCCAAATTACATAACAAAAATTGTAGTTAGTAACGTAATCCATTACGTTACATATTTTAGGTAATATAATCAGACTACTTTTTGATTACTTTTAACGTAACTTGTTTATCAAAATGATTTACATAGGATAATATTGCACCATGCTGATATTAAAATGCAAAGAAAATATATTCCATTTGTTGTTATTAACAACATGAAGTGAATTAAGCATTACATTATGTCAAGGTTTCCCAAACTGGGGCTCGAGAAGGAATTGCAGGGAGGTTTGTGAGTTTAATGAAAAGCTAATAATTAGCTAAGTCATAAAAATGTAAAATCAAAAGAAATATTTTAAAAATAACTTCAGTCAAAATAAAAAACTTACTAAAAAATGAAATATTTTGTTTACCTGTATGCCATGTAGGCATTTTAGTAAGGAAAAAAAAAAGAGAAAGAATTTGAGAGAATCAATAAATTATAAATAATTTATTGCTATTGTGTGAATACATGTAATCAAGTAATCAACAAAAAAGTAACTGTAGTCTGATTACAAGTAATTTTTTGGAATCTGATTACATAATCCAGATTGCATGTAATTAGTTACTACCCAGCTCTGCATATATATATATATATATTTTTTTTTTTTCCCTCCAATATGAAGGT